ATGCTTAGACTATCCCTTTCTGAGTTGCTGACTGATGTGGATTTCTGTTGGTAAAGTTGGTTGGAAGGAATTCGCGGATTCGTCTCGCCTGAAACCGAAGGAGGGTTGCCGTGGAGTGAAGATCGTTGGATTGTGCAAAGAAATCCTCGCTTCACCGTCCTACGACCCCGTTGAACCTGCTACAGACTGCCATCTTTTCTCTTGGTTCAATATATTGGAGCACCATTTCCTAATGTATAGATTATTGCTCTGACTACGTAGGCCATACTACAGATCAAGGCTTAACACGGTTTCATTAGAGTCGCAGGACGATGAGCTAGGGCAGTTTTTGCACAATTCAACAGTATTCACTTCATCGCAATCCGTTTTCAGTTTCTGGTGGGACTCGTTCACGAATTTATTCTAATCAACATTTCTGCCGAAATGGAAAGTCATTTCACAATTTCTTAATTTGGCTCCGCTTAAAATGCAAATAACAGAGCAAATTGATGCTTATCTGCTGTTGAGCCTGAAGTCTCAGAAAAAGTGTAATTAATTATTTCTGGTGAAATGTGACATTTTATAAACCAGCATAACATCTGCCATTATGCTGTTTGTCTAAGCGGCATGACTATATGCAGCAGCTTTATCCTGTATATTTATTTAGTCTTTCCACTTCGCAATTAGATATCAATGCTAACTCCTTGCCTGACTCCACGCAGCCGAATGCAGCTAATGCCTCACCTGTCAACGTATCCATTGGCCCATCAACCTCAACAAGTATCATTCTGCAGAGCAGTTTCGGGTCCGACACTACACCTGACACCAGTTGTGACTCGTGCGCGTCCATATCAAACGATGACATTGAACTCCAACAGGCGCCAACAGGTCGGACGATAGAGCAGCCCAATCTTTCGAGCAGAGAAAACGCAACACTGGTTCCACATTTCTTGACACTGGAGACGCCAAGAACCAGCCAACTCAGAGGCTACTTTAGGCCGACACTGCCGACCAATACCGGTCGTCTCGAAGCAACCATGGGAACACAAACCTCGACGAGGTCGGTTTGTGTGCCGCGGCGGTTGGTGGGGTCGAGCCGTCAGCCAATCAGTCCACGTTTGAAGACGAGTTTTTACCTTAAAAACATACTCTATAAGACGGTGCCTTGCCGTGACTTTACCACCAACGGTATCTGTCCCAGGGGTCTGCTGTGCAAGTTTGCCCATGGGCTCGACGATCTGCACGACCCAATGCAACACCCACTCTACAAGACGTCCGCCTGCTTTGACTACCAATTGACCGGCCATTGTCCCCGCGGAGCCGGCTGTTTCCACGTGCATGATCCGGCCGAAACGCGTCCGAAGCCCGACTTCACAGTCACCCTTGCTGCAGCCTCTTCTGCCGGCAACTCTGTTGGCCGCAGCAAGTGTGCCTCGTTGGTGGGGGAGCTGGAACCGCGGCCAATCAAGCCGGACGAGGCTCGAGGCATGACTGGACCAAGAGGGATCGCGCTGAAAACGGCGTTGCCCCCATGCCTAAGTTTGGCTGAACCCGGCTCAGTTGCCGGTACACCAATTACCATGGGAACTCGTGCCCGACAACAGCTTGTTCAGCGTCGCCAGTCCGTTGGATCCGCGACGCTCTGGACCGTCCAAACGCCGTCAATGCCTTCCAGATGGGCGCAGTTGGATGCAATGCCAACAGACCCAGATCAGACTCCGGCCTGCCAGAGACGGCCGCCCGGACTCGAGCCCAGCCCGCTGGCACCTGGTTCAGGCGCATCTAGAGATGGTCTGGTCCTGCTGGCCGGACGGCCAGGGCAACCGGGTGATCAGCCTCGGGTTTGTGTTCAGCTTACGCCCGACGAACTGTACCAAGTGATGGCCAATCGGGAGGCTGTGGCCAGCCAGGCCTCATCGCGAGCTGCCCAAGGAGGCATGGCAACTTCACATGTTGGCAGCGTCGACGGCACGGAAACACTTTACGATAGATTTCTTGCTACAGCAGGCCATGCTAGCGTTTCTAGTCAGTTGACCAAAAACTTAATGAATGCAAACACCTTTTAGCGTAATCTAGAGACACGCACCAGTCAGAATGCCATCGATGCAATGAAACCAATTTTACACTTGCCTTTACCTGCATCTGCATGCAATTGCCTCTGCACCTTAGTCAGTGTTGGCTATATTTCTTAATGATGATCGAAGCATTTGAAGCGAGATCTAACTGCACGAACTTGGACTGAGCAGATGAGATTCGAAACTTTTGTTGTATCAAAAGTTGAGACTCCAGTTAAACTTACGGCAAACTTTCTCTGTTCTTCTGCTAAACGGAAGTCTAATTTGGCGAACAAAGTAGTTCTTACCATTCCTTTATAAAAATGATATACTTTAAAATGGTTTTTCCTCTAGTAGAGAGGATGATCTTTCCTATCATCTTCTTTATGACCTTATTTTTCCCATAAATATACCAATTTCATCCAGTTTGCTAGCCCTAATGTTGCCCCAGAACACCCATACCCGGTGCCTTTTATCTGCTCTATCGCTGAAAACTGCTTTATCCTGTATTTTGTCCTTTGTGGGCTGCGCGATGCATTCAATTTCTGACCAGCCAGAGGACTGTTGACCTCCGGCGTCTCGGTAACACTGTCTGCGTTTTGCTGAGTGCTTTTAAAAAACCCAAAAATATCCCTCTTTTTATATTATGTATGGCTTCTTTTGTCAAATTAGAGGGCTCACAAATTTCTGACTGGGAGATTAAGAGATAGACCGTTCTTGCAGTTCATCCAAAATACTGCATCCCTTTTATGAAAGCTCTTATCTCAACTTTTACTGAGGGCATTTTTTGATAAAGATTAATTCTGAATAAAACGAAACGGAATTCTGAAGATATGAAATGTATTCACCCTATTTCGTTTGAAGGACTAATAGTTAAATTTTCCCTCAAATATATTAGTAAATCTTACGTTTTAATTGAATAGCACATAGTCTTGCTATCCACAAGTTATTAGTGTCCAGGCTGGACTGCAGTTTCGACCTTGTCCATGTCTCATCAGCACCCCCAGCGGGACTTGGATCATGA